CACAGGGGGACCTCGCCTCAGCCACAAGCCAGGCTGCCAGCTGCCAGCGCAGCAGTGGTGGTGGGAGCCTCTCCTGCCTCCTTAGCAGCGCTAAGGATGTCTGACTGCAGCTTAGACCTGCTCCCAACTTGCAAGTGGACATCCCCCGAGGGCTCCCGGGCTGCCAGAGGGATGCCTGACTGTCAGCTTAGGCCCAATCCCCCGGGGAGTGGGCCTAAGCCAGCAGGTGGTCATCCCCTGAGGGGTCCCAGACTGCGAGAGGGCACAGGCCGGGCTGAGGGAACCTCCCTTTGCCCCCCGAGTGCACAAATTTTTGTGCACCGGGCCTCTAGTTAATATATAAATACAGCTATGATTTGGTACTCATGTTAGGACATCACACTACAGTAGAACTAGTTATCAAATCATGTTCAACATTTTTATAAATATCAAGTGAATAAAGTTTAAGTTTCTGGTTAGAAACAGAAGAAGAAAATGTTATTTTGTTATGATGCAGTTTTAACAGAAAATAATCAGAAAAGCATTTACTTTGATTTTAATGTTTGAAAGGAGTGTTGCAAATAAGTTAAGAGCTAGAACAAATACATTTTTAATTAAAACAACCAAGTTGATAGGACGTAGACTTTCTCAAGAGCAATTTCAAGGAAACCAATTTCAAATTAACATTTTACTGTGCAGATCCTTAGTAATGTCTAACTGGAAACAGGGTATCTAGGACTGTAAAAGGGAGGATTCTGAATAATTTCAGTAGCTACGTCCACTAAGGTAGGCATCTCTGAGTTCTCATGGTATTTTTTTCTCTTTTCCTAAATGACCAAACCACTAATATAACATCAATATTTGTATTTAATAGAGAAACAGTATTTTCCTCAAAAATCTAAAAGTAAGAAATAATAAATTAACTTCAAAACTTTTTTAAACAAATGGTGAATTACATCATTCAAATTGAAGAGTCAACTTATCACAGCAAAATGGTATAGCCTTAACTAGCTAAATCCTTCCTATATCAAGGCATTTTCATTGATGGCATTCCTTCTGGGTGGATTATTGACAGACCAATCAGGATAGGATGAGGGTAAGCCAGGAAGGAAGAAAAACAAGTGCAGTAAATTTTATTGCTCAAACACATATAATGATATATTTTTTTTGTTTCGTATATTCTTACTTCAAGGAACTTATACTATTATTTTAAATTTATTTTTATAAGCATTCAGGGTATAGTAATGGCAAAGCCTCAGATAGTCTAAGCAATGACTTGGACTCTGGAGGCATGGAAGTCCCAGGGAAAAGGGAAGAATCCTAAAGTTATATCTACAGTTTAGGATAAAAGGGTTTAACTATTTAACAATTTACTGACATTATAAATGACCGTAGATTTTTCAACATTAAAAAAATGCCCAAGGATTAAAAATGGCAGCAGAGTAAGTAGCTGCTGCATGGACATGCTCCAAGAAACAAACTGGTATTACAACTAAAATACAGAAAAACTTTGTGAATAATCAACAGAAAACTCGGAGAGAACCCTGACACCTAAGGACTGAAAGTGGAGACTGCATGGAGACCAGCAGGAGGGGTGGAGGCAAAAGGACTGGCTGGGTGCCCACAGACAGCAACTGAAGGCCCAGAGAGATATCTCAGATGTGGGGGATTGCCACTGAGAATTCTGGGATCTAATCCTGAAGCTAGGCACCCAAACATAGAGGACCAAAACTGAGGAGGGTCCC